TAGGATCCAACTTCCGTAATGTCGGAAAAGTCCATTTTACGCAGAGGTGGGTATTTCCCGCATATTCTCACAATCCACACGTCGATTACGTGTACATTGTCTCCAAAAACCGATTGTCATATCTCTCTTGCTTTGGGATGCGATCGTTTGTCTTCGTTGCCCGGCTACATCTTTGAGGAACAAATCACCCCCCTCTCAAAAATAACGTCGTCATATGTACGACGTCATCAAGTTGCGAGCGCATTTTCGAATCTCAAGAAATGACGTCATGACAGAACTATGTTTTATCGTGAAATAAACACGCTAAATTCGTCATTGCTCTTTGCTTTTATCGCGTAGCTATCTTATATCACAATATATAGTTTTTTGGTAACTGTTATTGCTTTCAACCAGGGTTCATATGATGTGTTTCCTGTATATTACAATATAAAGATTGACAGTGTTTATATTAAAGTGGTATTGCTTTCAACCTGGGTTCATATGATGTGTTTCCTGTATATTACAATATAAAGATTGACAGTGTTTATATTAAAGTGGTATTGCTTTCAACCAGGGTTCTGTATGATGTGTTTCCTGTATATTACAATGTAAAGATTGACTGTGTTTATATTAAAGTGGTATTGCTTTCAACCAGGGTTCTGTATGATGTGTTTCCTGTATATTACAATATAAAGATCGACTGTGTTTATATTAAAGTGGTATTGCTTTCAACCAGGGTTCTGTATGATGTGTTTCCTGTATATTACAATATAAAGATTGACTGTGTTTATATTAAAGTGGTATTGCTTTCAACCAGGGTTCTGTATGATGTGTTTCCTGTATATTACAATATAAAGATCGACTGTGTTTATATTAAAGTGGTATTGCTTTCAACCAGGGTTCTGTATGATGTGTTTCCTGTATATTACAATATAAAGATCGACTGTGTTTATATTAAAGTGGTATTGCTTTCAACCAGGGTTCTGTATGATGTGTTTCCTGTATATTACAATATAAAGACCGACTGTGTTTATATTAAAGTGGTATTGCTTTCAACCAGGGTTCTGTATGATGTGTTTCCTGTATATTACAATGTAAAGATCGACTGTGTTTATATTAAAGTGGTATTGCTTTCAACCAGGGTTCTGTATGATGTGTTTCCTGTATATTACAATATAAAGACCGACTGTGTTTATATTAAAGTGGTATTGCTTTCAACCTGGGTTCTGTATGATGTGTTTCCTGTATATTACAATATAAAGATTGACTGTGTTTATATTAAAGTGGTATTGCTTTCAACCAGGGTTCTGTATGATGTGTTTCCTGTATATTACAATATAAAGATCGACTGTGTTTATATTAAAGTGGTATTGCTTTCAACCAGGGTTCTGTATGATGTGTTTCCTGTATATTACAATATAAAGATCGACTGTGTTTATATTAAAGTGGTATTGCTTTCAACCAGGGTTCCATATGATGTGTTTCCTGTATATTACAATATAAAGACCGACTGTGTTTATATTAAAGTGGTATTGCTTTCAACCAGGGTTCTGTATGATGTGTTTCCTGTATATTACAATGTAAAGATCGACTGTGTTTATATTAAAGTGGTATTGCTTTCAACCAGGGTTCCATATGATGTGTTTCCTGTATATTACAATATAAAGACCGACTGTGTTTATATTAAAGTGGTATTGCTTTCAACCAGGGTTCTGTATGATGTGTTTCCTGTATATTACAATGTAAAGATCGACTGTGTTTATATTAAAGTGGTATTGCTTTCAACCAGGGTTCCATATGATGTGTTTCCTGTATATTACAATATAAAGATTGACTGTGTTTATATTAAAGTGGTATTGCTTTCAACCAGGGTTCTGTATGATGTGTTTCCTGTATATTACAATGTAAAGATCGACTGTGTTTATATTAAAGTGGTATTGCTTTCAACCAGGGTTCTGTATGATGTGTTTCCTGTATATTACAATGTAAAGATCGACTGTGTTTATATTAAAGTGGTATTGCTTTCAACCAGGGTTCTGTATGATGTGTTTCCTGTATATTACAATATAAAGATCGACTGTGTTTATATTAAAGTGGTATTGCTTTCAACCAGGGTTCTGTATGATGTGTTTCCTGTATATTACAATATAAAGATCGACTGTGTTTATATTAAAGTGGTATTGCTTTCAACCTGGGTTCCATATGATGTGTTTCCTGTATATTACAATGTAAAGATCGACTGTGTTTATATTAAAGTGGTATTGTTTTCAACCAGGGTTCTGTATGATGTGTTTCCTGTATATTACAACATAAAGATTGACTGTGTTTATATTAAAGTGGTATTGCTTTCAACCAGGGTTCTGTATGATGGGCAACTTCATGGAGCGTCTCCCCGACTCCAAGGCCCTGGACACCGTGCAGAAGCTGATAGCCTGTGGGGTGTCTAAAGGCAAGATCCAGTCCAGCTACATCCTCAGGGGCCACCGAGATGTTGGTGCCACCGCCTGTCCTGGGACCAAGCTGTACGCCCTCATCAAGACGTGGCCGCATTACTAGAATTAGGACACGCGCAGCCGCATTACTAGAATTAGGACACGCGCAGCCGCATTACTAGAATTAGGACACGCGCAGCCGTATTATCTTCAGGATTTGCGCATTGTCCGAGTGGTATTATTGTAGCACTAAAATCACGGACAATGAAAACATCAATCAATCGGATAATAACTGTCCACATGTGTTGTCTCTTTAGTCTATCCGTATGTGTGTTTGCCTCAGCACAAACATGGGAGTGCTTTGAGAGTCTACGGTTGTTTGTTTGTTTGTTGTTTAACGCCGTGCTCATCAATATTACAGTTATATAACGGGGGTCTGTAAATATTGTCGAGTCTGGATCAGACAATCCAGTGACTGACCTAGTGAGCATCGATTCACGCAAGTCAGTGAGCCTGACCACACAATCCCATCAGTCGCCTCTTACGACAAGCATTGTCGCATTCCACGACAAGCATTGGTTGCTGAAGACCTTTCTACCCCGGATCGTCTACGTACATGTACGTGCATAGATCCTACGGAAAATGGTGTATTCCTCAGTTGCTCAAAACAGATAAAGTAATCATTTGGGGGGGGGGGGGGGGGCAATATGTTTCACAATATCAGTCAACTCAAAGGTAATGCCTCTAAAGTAACTGAAATCTGTCAGTGAGACGCATAAATAACAATCTTTTTGAGGTTGGTTTAACATTACTCCAGTTATAACCCGGCGTGTCAAAGGGAGAGAACCCAAGCGTGACTCAGGCCTCAGGCCACAATTAATTTCTTTCTTTGCTATCTTCAATCCAACCATAATAATTATCGGTCGTAGGCTGTTCTCCAGTTGCATGCTGACCCAACTGCCACTTAAAATGCAAAGATTCGACCTGCATTAACCAGCTACCTTTCGCAGTATCCACTGTCAACAGTGCTCGCCGGAAGTTTCGACCCGAAACACACAGAGCGGCCTTCATCTTGGGGTCTAGTCATGGGAAGCTGGAATCAATACCTTCACAGATTGTGGCTTACAAAACATTGGCAACATACTACAATGTCTAATCTTTCATTTAAGCTATCACAAGTCACTCCCAAAACATTGACACAGGCTGAACAGCCCAGGGCACTACATCCACTATTCCGGTTCAACTTCCGGTACAACGTAGGGGGATAACTGTGGTCTGAGGCCAGATGTTCACGACATGCATGAAACTACGATGTGGATGTCACAAGTCAAGGGTCATCAGAGGGAAAATCTGGGATTCGAACCCTATGCCAGTGGAACCCTCTGCTGTGCTTCGCTACCCGTGCCTTCACGCAAGGGAAAGAGAACACTGACGTTTCCTTGTGTAGATTGCTGAACAGAGAGCAAGGGCGTCCAGTCAAGTTGCCTCTATCTGAATGGCTTAGACGAACGAGGAAGGCAATTCCCCGTGGTGCAGTGATCGCACGAATAATCAGCACGCTCCAACACTACAGTCAGGTTACCTCCCACCTGTCACAACACCACACATCTGCAGTTCACACGTGTTAGTTGTCATGTAGTTCACACAGGATAGCTTTTACAGTGATGAAAATAGTGGATTTGGAAAATCAATAATGTTTAATTATGAAACAATTACGCTTGCAGTAATGACTATATACTTTAAACTTTTTAAAAAATCTGTAATGCTATTAAAACGAAATTGGTCATGATCGTCTTAATCAACATCTACATCTTCATCTCTTTCAGCAAGAAAATGTGTGCACAAAATCATATGAACAAAGATTGTTAATGACAAATACCAAATGATATTATTTATAAAAATCGGTGAGAAAAAATAATAATTAGAAATACTGTATGATATTTATTTATATAAATCGGTGAATATAATCTATGAAAAATCATAAACGATACTTATTTACATAACATCCTGAAAACATAAATAAAACAAATGTACAAAGTCATATGCACAGATACGTTAAATGACAAATACTGAATGATACTTATTCTATAAATTGATTAACACAAATGTTTAATGAAAAATACCAAAATTGTATTATTAACTTGATTCCCATGGGACCATCGAAAATATATCAAGTCATCCGTTTTGTCGAGACAAGCAGAAAATCGATATCTATACTCTTCAAAGAAAAGAAACGCACAAGTAGTATGTAGTTCATTGGAACTGAGTGAACACAAACTCCGGTATATAAATTGGTTATATCTTATTGGATAATGTTGACGGCCTGTTATTCGACAAACCGTGTGTCTTAAACGGCATTGTTTTCACACTTGTTCAAAAATGTCATGGAGGAAAACAGTAAAGCAAAATGCACGTGCAAGTTATTGCATTCGTTACTCGTGGTAGTGGCTATAAAAAGGCAAGCATAAGTCAATAATTTGTCATTCAGCTGTCAACATTTTTCAATTTCGAAAATGCCGAGACTCAGCGCTGCCGATCGGAACATCGCCATAGGACGTATCCAAAGAGGGGAATCGCAATCTTCTGTTGCACGCCACTTCAACGTCCACCACAGCACCATTTGTCGCCTTTGGGACCGATACACATAGTTTAATTCCGTGGGTTTCTATTTTTGAAGTGTGTATTTGTCTTGTCGATACCTTGGAAACATTGTCTATTGCTGATTGGGGTCTGTCATCCCCACAAGCTTGACAGCGTCTATCTCTACCGATCCACCCGCGTAAGAAGGATCCACCCATACCCGGATGACGTCAGACGTGAAGCTGGTCAACTGCAACAGCAGGTGATGTGAACCAAAATATGAACCATCAGAAGGGTTTGGACATGGAGAGAGAGGGAGAGTCAGAGAAGGAGGGAGAGGGGGAGAGACAGCGGAGAAAGAGAGAGAGAGAAAGAGGGAGCGAGAGGAGAGGGAGAGGGAGAGAGACACAGGAGAGAGAGAAAGAGTGACAGAGAAAGATAGGAGGGAGAGAGAGGAGAGGGAGAGAGAGAGGAGACGGAGAGAGAGGAGAGGGAGAGGGGGCGAAGGAGAGAGAGAGAAAAAAAGAGAGAGAGATAGAAGGAGGGAGAGAGAGGAGAGAGAGGGAGGGAGAGAGAGGGGCGAAGGAGAGAGAGAGGGAGAGAGTAAGAGAGAAAAGGGGGAAGGGATATGGGAGATACATATAGGTACAGAAGAGAGTAATGGAGGAGAGAGGAGAGATAGATGTATACGGATAGAAATGAGGCAATGATATATAGGGAGAGAAGAGAGAGCGATGTAGGGAAAGAGAGTGGGGAAGGAGAGAGTTAGGTTTGCCTGAGCGAGACTGTTAATCACAGGCCGCCGTTCTATCTGGAATATTGCTGACAGCGTAGTAAAACAACATTCACACACCAAAAGATGCGAGGCAAACATTGGCGTGTTTCAAGCCATGGGTTTAGGATTCGAACTCCCCTGAAATGTAGGGCAAGAGAAGAGAGAGATACTTGGGCAGACAGTGGAGAGATATGTAGTGTATGGGGACAGAGAAAGGGAGATATCTGAGGACAGAGAGGAGAGAACTATAGGGAGAGAGAGAAGTGAGATGGTGACGGTGAGAGGAGAGAGAGAGTTCTCAAATATAATTGTAATTATTATACTATAAACTCGACTTGGAGTGAAAGAGAATGCAAACGTCATTGAGACAGTTCTCACTTCTTTCATAATAGTGACTGCATTTAGTTAAAGAAATTAAGGAATGTGATGAAAGAGTTCTTACGTGTATCAAAACGAGTTCCACGATTCGACTTGAAGAAAGACGATATAACCTTTTCGCCCGATACATGGTCACATATTCCCCACTAGGCGTCAGGATCTCCACCAACCACGTTGCGCCTGCGCGGTGCGTCTCATACACGTGCACTTCCGAGATGAAGAGTTTCATGGCGTACTTCAACTGGAAACAAGTGCAACTTGAATGATGGTTCTCAGTGCCCGCTATAACTTTATCATTATGGCATAGCTTGCCCGTAACTTTCTAAGTGTCTGTTCACAATTTTTTTAATTTATTTGTCAGTTAATGTAACCCTGTGTGGTTCTGATAATATATAGGTAGTCAAGGGTTATGTGAATTTCCGGATTTACTATAGAGATCGAGCATATACAATGTATGCTCACTGTAAGTTTCCCAAGTTTTAAAATAAAAATAAATTTTTAATATTTTTTTAAATAAGTACAAAGGTATTATTGTATTCCCTGTAACATGTATAGTGTGTATTTCAAAGTAAACCGGGGTCACGGGTGGCCCAGTCTTCTAAGGCGCCGCGATTCGCTGTGCAGAGTTGCGTCCCTTGGGCACGCAAGAAACCTATGATTGTGGGTTCGAATCCTGGTTCGCCACGATTATGTTTCTAGGTTTGTCAGCACCATACCCGTGCTCGTGGGTTTCACCGAAGTGGTAAACGTCTGAGACCTGTATCACTTCGGGCGTTCCTCCCACATCAAGCTGACACGCCGTGATATAACTGGAATACTGTTAAAAGCCGCGTTAAACCCAACTCACTCACTCACACTCAAAGTAAACCCTCATTGTGTATATTCATACGAATCCTACTTTTTCAATCCTCGGGATTTACATTTGAAATTCTCAGATACAGATTTTACTGGATCTTGTATTAAAGGAGATTAGCATTCATAAATTCAGACAAATTTCACTGTATACCTCAACATATTGATGATCGTTGTTTATATCGGACTGTCCCCATGCCTTGACGTTGTGGCCGTGGTCGGGATATACATCAGACTCTCCAATCACTTGGCTAGCGGCGTTGCTGACAAACAGAAAACGTGATCTAAGTCCTACATACATTAAACAGGACGAAATGGCGCCAAAACGGTACTGTAGTTCACCTTTATCACTAAGTTCTTTAATCACTAAAACTTCCCTTTTGGCTTCTCGTTTTGTAATTATCATGATCGATGTCCTTATTGTCAGTAGATTGACGGATAGATCTCCAGATCCTTTCATCAACAATCAACATCATTCAGTCGCATACGTATCAAGACATTGCTTTCCAGTGAGTGAGTTAGTGAGTGAGTACGATTTTACGCCGCTTTTAGCAATATTCCAGCAATATCATGGCGGGGGACAACAGAAATGGGCTTCGCATATTGTACCCATGTCGGGAATCGAATACCGGGTCTTCGGCGTGTCCCCCGCCATGATATTTCTGGAATATATAAAATATATAAAAGCGGCGTAAAGCCATACTCACTCACTCAGTTAAACAAAGGATTCTGTTGGTAAAAATGTATGTATGTACATGAAATATGGCAAATTATTATGTTATTCAAAGTTCCCATTTTCTTCTTATTTCATGGTTAACGGATGTTTGCTCAATGCAATAAACACAGCTTTGTGGAGTTAATGAGTTTTAACTATGTTTAGCATGATCGTTTTCGTGGGAACAAATTTGCTAATTATGTTAATAGTGCATGTTCAGGACTTTTACTGCAATTTGTTCATCTATGAAAATTAGGATCTTTACAAGGGGTTTGCAATGGCCAGAGACTACAAACAATACTTTTGAGTAATTGGTACATGCTTGCCGTAAAAGGCGACTTTGCTTGTCGTAAGAGGCGACTAACGGGATCAGGCTCGCTAGCTTGATGGATGCATGACATCGTATCCCAATTACGTTGATCGATGCTCATGACATCAATAACTGGACTGTCTGGTCCAGACTCGATTATTTACATACGGCCTTTATATCGCTGGAATGTTCCTAAATGCGGTGTTAAACAACAAACAAAACAAAAAAGTAATAATTATTATTGTTTTGCTTTTGTGTCTTTCATATTTTTCGAAATCACCAAATATAGATTAAATAAAAATAAATTTGAATTCGTAAACCGGAAAATAAAAAGTGTCTTTTTGTCTCTTATGATTCATGTATTTAATATAGGTGAAGAGTGTATGTGGTTACCTTCCCTCGGTGTTTTCTTCTGACGAATATGCCAGCACAGCTGTCACCCACAGTACCACCACTGTAACACAGAGGTGCTGCAGACATTACAATAGACAATGACACGGGCTAAAAACACATTGTGTCCCTCCATCACCAATGAATACATACAGTATACCGTATGTGTAAAGATGACACGTGTCTATTTTTGTCAGCTATAGATATGTAAAGCTGACGGAAGTCAAATGAACCCTACCCTACTCCGTGCAAGAACCTTTGGCGAACCCCACCGTTGTCTGCCGTTGAAGCAATGTGTGGAGCTGATGACCACATGATGCACATGTTATCAAGCGAAAGCATTGCCGTATGTGCGATGTAACCTGAGCGCTCATTGGTCATGCCCTCGCCAGCACCCATCTGGCTTGGTTTCTCATAGCACCAGTCATTATAGTGTGTTTCATGTATTCAAGATTGTGACACGTTATGTATTAGTGAGTGAGTGAGTGAGTTGGGTTGGTGAGGCCAGTTATATCACGGCGTGTCAGCTTAATGTGGGAGGAAAGCCCGAAGTGATGCAGGTCTCAGATGTTTACTACTTCGGTGAAACCCACAAGCACGGGTATGGTGCTGACAAACCTAGAAACATAATCGTGGCGAACCGGGATTCGAACCCACAATCATAGGTTTCTGGCGTGTCCAAGGGACGCAACTCCGAACAGCGAATCGCGGCGCCTTAGATGACTGGGCCACCCGTGCCCCGCTCCCCTAGTACTTTTGCACTAATATTGAATAGAGATATGTTCATATGGCCATCATCGTGCATAGTTCCAAGTTATCAATACATATATACGATCTCAGTTTGTGAGGAAGCTTTAATACAGACGAGTTTCATACGTTGTGATGTAGCCGCCGTAGTCGTCGTTAACGAAGTTGTGGGCGTAGTCGTGGTAGTGGATGTAGTTGTGGTAGAAGTTGTTGTAGTTGTAGATGGAGTAGTAGTAGTAGTAGTAGTAGAAGAAGAAGCAGTAGTAGTCGTTAACCAAGTGATCGTTGTTGGTGTAGTCCTGGTAGTGGATGTAGTTGTGGAAGTAGATATTGTTGTAGTTGTAGATGGAGTAGCAGTAGTAGTTGTAGTAGAAGCAGTAGTTGTAGTGGTCGTCGTTAACGAAGTGATCGTTGTTGGTGTAGTCGTGATAGTGGATGTAGTTGTTGTTGTTGGAGTAGTTGTGGTAGTAGTGGCCGTTGTACTTGTGGACGTGGATGTTGCCCGGGTGGTTGTGACCGTCACAGTTGATGCAATTGTCATCGGTGATGTCATAGTTGATGCAGCGGGGGTCGTTGTGGAGCCTACAGGTGCAGTCAGTGGTGTTGCAGCGTTGACGGTCGATGAGGGCGAAGGCTCTACGCATGAGAGAAGTATTTCATTGTAATCATTATGTGATTAGTGGTGACATAATTCAGTAATTCCTGAGTTCATTTAAACTAAATATACATGTTTAACAAAACAACATCTACAAATAAATAAATGTCAAGTTTGAAGAACCCTGGTTAAGAAAATAGCATTTGTTTTCCTGATTCAACATCGATCACACGCGGGAAATGTTCTTTGGTAGGTGATTGAAGGTCAAATTTAAGATTGTTTTCCCTTCGCCTTTCTTCGTTCATCTAACTGAATAGATATGAAGAAACGACCGACCTAGAGGATACAGACATTAAACAAACACTTGGAACACAAGTTCTTGTGACATACTTGTCATATTTTGGGACATTGGGCTACATAAATTGGTCCATCTAATATTCTCGTTCAGGGGAAATCACCCATCTTAAATCTAGCGGGAAAGGAGATAATATTACAGAAACATTACATATATTTCTGTAGCTGTTGTTAAGTTATGTTGAATAAACGCTGAGACAATAAAAGAAGTCCTTTTACTTCCGCTCAAATGGTTGGTATACAACTGCTCGTGATCCGTGCTGTCATACTCACATACGTGATGCACTATCTACATGCGTATATGCTATCGTAATAACATGTATTATCGACATGTTGTTAAGGAAACTGATATAGAAGCCCTGCTTGGCCGATAACAGTTGAACCATAAGTTGGTAAAAATAATTATTCTTTAAAGAACAATCTATAAAAGTGCATAGTTTTACCATTCCTTTTATCTAACTATGGCTGTTTGTTATTGATAACTTGGAGTTTATATTGTCACCGTAATAAGCGTGCATAATACAGCTTCAGAATATTCATGTTGTGGGTACCTTCAAACGTTGTCAAGGGCGTTGCATTTGTAGTAGGTGTCGTTGGTCGTGCCGTTGTTGTTACAATCATCGGTGATGTTGTTGCTGATGCTGATGCTGAATTTGTTGAATGGGGAACCGCACCTGTTTTTTCAAAACTTTACGATTAGTTTTTTCGAGAATATACTGCAGAGAGGCAATGGACTGATTACAAAACGTGGTAAGACAGATACAGTTACGTATCTATATTCAGCGGTTCAAGACAATTTGTCAAAAATGAAAGCAAATGCCATCTGAAGTATAGTGGAAAACAATTTGTGAAATGCTGGACTTCCTTATTGACAACATCTATGTAAAATCGAGGGGGGTAAGACATTTAGGCAAGAAGTAGGCATCCCCAAGGACACCAAGTGTACTTCCCTTCTTGTGGATCGGTTTGTTTATGCATATGAATCGGAATTTCTTTTCGGATTGGCAAAGTCAAAACAAGGTAATTTGGCCAAGAAGATTAAATTAAGCTTCAGCTATATCGACCATCTCATATTGTTCAATAACCATCAAGTAGTCAATTCCCTCCACTGATTTATCAACCTGAACTAGAAATAAAGGAAACCAGTGAGACCGCCTCATCTGTTTCATTTTTAGATCCATGCATAGATATTCAGAGTGGAACAACTCTCTCCACAAGACTGTATGACAAGAGAGATGTCTTAAGGTTTCCAATAGTCAACTTTCCCTTAATGTCGAGCAATATTCCTGCAGCTCCAGCCCTTTGGAGTCTCCATTTCGCAACTTTTGAGATACTCTTTCCACCAAGATTTTAGAGGGGCGTCATACGACTCTTGCTCAGAAGTTGTTTGATGAAGGTGACAACATTCAAGGCCTCAGTAGAACTTTCAAAAAGGTTTCTGGCAGTGACAAAAATTATTATTTATATATCTTACCTTGGCGGTAGTGGATGCCAGTGTGAGGTATATCTTACCTTGGTGGTAGTAGATGTCAGTGTCAGGTATATCTTACCTTGGCGTTAGTAGATGTCAGTGTGAGATATATCTTACCTTGGCGGTAGTGGATGTCAGTGTGAGGTATATCTTACCTTGGCGGTTGTAGATGTCGGTGTGAAATATATCTTACCTTGGCGGTAGTAGATGTCAGTGTGAGGTATATCTTACCTTGGTGGTAGTAGATGTCAGTGTCTGGTATATCTTACCTTGGCGGTAGTGGATGCCAGTGTGAGGTATATCTTACCTTGGTGGTAGTAGATGTCAGTGTCAGGTATATCTTACCTTGGCGTTAGTAGATGTCAGTGTGAGATATATCTTACCTTGGCGGTAGTGGATGTCAGTGTGAGGTATATCTTACCTTGGCGGTTGTAGATGTCGGTGTGAAATATATCTTACCTTGGCGGTAGTAGATGTCAGTGTCAGGTATATCTTACCTTGGTGGTAGTAGATGTCAGTGTCTGGTATATCTTACCTTGGCGGTAGTAGATGCCAGTGTCAGGTATATACCTACCTTGGCGTTAGTAGATATCATTGTGAGATATATCCTATCTTGGCGGTAGTAGAAGTAAGTGGCAGGTATATCTTACCTTGGTGGTAGGAGATGTCAGTGAGGGATATATCTTACCTTGGCATTAGTAGATGCCAGTGTCAGGTATATCCTATGTTGGCGGTAGTAGATGTCAGTGGCAGGTATATCTTACCTTGGCGGTAGTAGATGTCAGTGTGGGATATATCTTACCTTGGCGGTAGTAGATGTCAGTGTCACGTATATCTTACCTTGGCGGTAGTAGATGTCAGTGTCAGGTATATCTTACCTTGGTGGTAGTAGATGTCAGTGTCAGGTACCTTACCTTGGTGGTAGAAGATGTCAGTATCAGGTATATCTTACCTTGGCGGTAGTAGATGACAGTGTCAGGTATATCTTACCTTGGTGGTAGTAGATGTCAGTGTCAGGTATATCTTACCTTGGCGGTAGTAGATGACAGTGTCAGGTATATCTTACCTTGGTGGTAGTAGATGACAGTGTCAGGTATATCTTACCTTGGTGGTAGTAGATGACAGTGTCAGGTATATCTTACCTTGGTGGTAGTAGATGTCAGAGTGGGGTATGTCTTACCTTGGCGGTAGTAGATGTCAGTGTCCTGGTTACTGACCACTGTCAGAGTCTGTGGCAACTGGCCGTGGAGGACACACTCTCCTGAACCTGAATACGCCATAGACACACACCCTTCCTCTTGATGACACAGGACAGAACACTCCGCCCGACTTGGCACCGCCTTGCCACTTACAACGTAATCTGTGGCGGATTTGTCTCTGAATATCAGGTCAAAAACCTCATCCACACACAAGCTACTTCCCGCAGTACTTGCACTGTTTAACATGACCAGAACGATGAACATCAGTTTCACAATGTCAGACATTTTTGGAAATCCTCTTTACCTTCAATGGGAATAGCTTACGCAGACATTTCACCAATACGTCTTGTATGCTTAGATCTCTGCCCCAAAGTAAACTTCATAAAGCCATGCGCAAACGGCAAAACACTTAACATTGCCGTTATTGGTTCTTTTTGTATGAAGCACGCATTGGTTGCTTTGTTCACAGTTGACCTGATAACCCTTTTTTTCACACAAACCAAGTTTTTATCAATTGTAGAAAATGGTCCACGTATGGCTGACTTTCAGACGGGTTTCTATAAATGCTCAACGCGAACATCATTAAAGTGTCACATGTTGGTAGTCTAAACAGAGAACTTGATGCGTCATTTAATGTTATAGATCATTTAACGATGAATGAGGAGTTCAGAGAACACTATGAACAATACATGCAATTACATTACTTAAGCCATTACCTGTGTGAAGGTGTACAGAATGTGACTATATGACTCAATGAACACGCCTCTTCAATGAAGATAATGGGCAAAGTGAAAACACCTGCAAAATAATAATCGTTTGTTTCCTAAGAACAAGCAGTTCAGCTTGTACAGCCGTGGCTCCAGCCTTCCACGTTACATCAGGTTTTAACCCCCAAGATGGACCAGAGTGAGTGAGTGAGTTGGGTTTAACGCCGCTTTTAACATTATTCCAGTTATATCATGGCGTGTCAGCTTCATGTGGGAGGAAAGCCCAAAGTGATACAGGTCTCAGACGTTTATCACTTCGGTGAAACCCACGAGCACGGGTATGGTGCTGACAAACCTAGAAACATAATCGGGGCGAACCAGGACTCGAACCAACAATCAAGGGATGCAACTCTGCACAGCGAATTGCGTCGCCTGAGACAACTGTGCCACCGGTGGCCTCTAACGGACCAGAAGATATCAATGAACAAAAATGTTGAAATGCAATATCAATATAGGACTATCGCGATTGAAACTCTTTGAGGACGATTTTATAACGCTATTGTTGAGTAAGACTTCAGAATGGTGTAAATGCATTCAAATATTACGAGAACAGTCACCCCATGATAGCGTTATCATGCTAATGATGATCGGGGGATTACAAGGTGTCACCTGGCTGATTTTGTGTCAACCCTCATCCGTTAACTGTCTTCTTCTTCAAATAAACGGATGAAACAGTATGAGAATATCTAGCACCAAGCTTTTGTCATCTGCACTTAACAAAAGCCATTGTTGACGATTTGAGACAAATATATATTACTTTAAGCGAAAAAATACTATAAAAGCCAGTGTGAATTATTGATGACTCAGGATACCACTTTAAGCTCCCTTAGCGATGAGCAGCCGTGCCTCGGTACAATGCATCACTTTATATATGTAGGCTGAGGTAGTAAACAACCACCTGCACCCAGCGTGATACAGAAAGTCCTGAGCCGTATTCATGAAAATTCTAAAAACATACTTATCTTAAGTTGCCTGAAACAATTCTTCAAAAGACTTATGAAAATCACTTTAATTTAATTTTTACAGACTAAAAACTTCTTATGCACTCTAATATTGTTTTATGAATACGGCCCTAGGTAAAGTTAGTTCATATCCCCCTGATGGATTGTCTGGCTTTGGCGGCCATCTTAGATATATCGAATCCCGATTCGACCCGATTTTGTTTCTAGGTTTGTCAGCACCATACCCGTGCTCGTGGGTTTCACCGAAGTGGTAAACGTCTGAGACCTGCATCACTTCGGGCTTTCCTTCCACATGAAGCTGACACGCCGTGATATAACTGTTAAAAGCAGCGTTAAACCCAACTCACTCACTCACTCTTATATATAGCTCATAATAGGCCTATAAGTATGTTAAAATAGGAGGTCTTTGATCAACCGAAGTATGACGCCAACGTTAACATGTGCTAACATTGGTCAACATAAGTGTCCTGCGATGATGGCATGTCTACATGTAGCTGTCAATCGTAGCATACCGATGTTCTGCCGAAACACTTGGCATATTACGTTTGATTTCTGAACTCTTCATGCATTGATGACTACAGGGAGATGAATTCATATCATCATGCTGCATGTGCATTTCCAAATTTAACAAATTCAGTCATTTTTTCACGGATTTTGATGAACTAACGCAAGAGTATCAGTTGCACCCTCGTCTGTTGCATTTCTGCGATTCGTTTTACATTATTTGGAAATATTTTTGTGTGTTTGAATCCAGATTGTAATGTATTTGCTTTTGGTAAAGTTATTTAGCTTGTCATATATCAGAGACGACCTCGTCTGTGTTGCGTTCTGTGGTTAAGAAACTCTGCTAATCCCTAATAATTACAATTTCGTTGTGTTCATTGATATTCCTGCATTCTGATCAGCTGAATTGGTCACGTGTTATTGCTTTCATTTCCCAATGAATGTCAAATGTCAAAAATAAAGCCACGCCCACGGAGGCGCACTACTTTTATTACTGCAAAATGTCGGGGAATCCTAATATTACAGTCGAGGGAATTCCCTTCTGCTCATGATCATGTGTATCGTCATGGACAGGACATTTAGCGACATTCATACATATTCATTGTCCAAATTACCCTTTGAAACCGAAGGCCGAGAAGGAATGAAACAGCAAACGTGCAGGCTTGCTCGCCTGCATTTTCCCTCGCTCACCTCGGTTCCACAACTTTCATGTCTTCGAGTTTCATTTCAACCTAGCATGTTTCCAACTGTGTTTTCCCGTTTTAAGGGAACATATGTTTGAATCTGGGGGTACCTGACCATGTCATTTGAAATAGCCGCCTTCTCCCGGACATATTTCTTCCGGTTCGTTACAGTCTGACTTGCAGTTCTTCTCGCCTCTTGCCTTAATTGGCAGATCCGATGAATAGTGTTTTGATTCTACTTTCCGTTGATTGGCTGCTGACTGTGTAGGCGTGTCAAGTTATGTGCATAAATTAAACGATCACCTGATTCAAGACACGCCACAGTATGTATTCATACACCTGGAATGTTTATCAATCTTGACATGTTCGCCTGTTTTGATATATAATGTTTTTGGTTATATTATTGTAGATAAACGTGGTGTACCGCAACGCGGATTCGTACAGTTTGCACATCGGTTTTTCGATTCAGCTCAATAAACCGAAGGAAATACACAGTCAATCCTTCGTTGAATGTCAGCGACTGTATAGTTTCGGTCATTAATTTCCACCTGTGTGTTGCCTATTGAAAAGCTGCTTATCTCCCTTTGACTCGTGTTTCCATGATAGTGTATTTGTTTGCTTGGCATGTGTTAATGTAAGCAGAGTTAGCTCCCCAGGGTGGCTCTTCTGTCTAGGGAGGCTCGCTCGGGTTTCGCGCTCGTTTCGAGGATTGCCAATAAATGTCATCAAGTGTTTACCTGTGTCCTGTTGATGTGTGACAAGTGTATAGTTCCTCCTAACCTCGTGTTTCCATGATAGTGTATTTTCCATGGGCTCAGTTGCACAAAGCGATCTTTGCACGTACGGTGATTGTTGACATTGGAGAATTGTGTACTGTTTGGTTGTATTTTATGGTCAATGGTCGTTGTGCTACATAAAGGCTACATGGGAAAGATTCTGATAAATGTGTATATTACTCTTCTCGCCACAGGAACTCACTATTTAACAGGCATGTAATAGTTCATTATGAAGACACGCATACGTACATTTGTACGTGTATTCACCAATCTGTTCCTGAGTCGAATTTTAAAATATTTCTACATTCCTATGACGTAATATATCAATGTGAAAGAAGATGTAATATGATACCTTTCTCAGCTCCCGGACGGGCAAGATGAGGTAAACTATCACCATCTGTATCACCCACGAGAGGTCCGCCCCCTTTCATTCCAGGAAGTCATCCAAGCTTTTGTGTCCAAAGACAGCTGCAACCATTATCGGTGTCCTTCCATCCATTCCCCTTTGGTTGATGTTAGAATCTGACAGCAGATGTTGTACAATAGTCATGTTGCCTCTCTGACAGGCAAGATGAAGTAAACCAGAGAGAGGCCAGCCCCCTTTGATTCCAGGACGTCAAACACGCTTTTGTGTCCAAAGACAGCTGCAACCATTATCGGTGTCCTTCCACCCCTTCCTCTATGGTTGATGTTAGAATCAGACAGGAGATGTTGTTCAAAAGACACATTGACTACCTTTTGAGCAAGATGAAGTAAACTAGCACTAGATGTAGAAGCAAGACAGAGGTCTGACCATTCATTTCTGTATGGTTGATGTTAGAATAATACAGGTAATATCGTACAATAGACATGTTGCCTCCCCGACATCCCTGCAAGATGAAGTAAACTATCACCAGATGTATCAACCAGCGAGAGGTCCGCCCAATGATTCCAAGAGGTGAAACAGACTATTGTGTCCATGGAATGCTGCAACCAGTAATGGGACGTGTCGACCTATACACTCCGTTTTTTGTTGATGCTAAATGATTGTAGCAGATCCCTAACATTGGCAGTGTTTCCTCCTTGACCAGCAAGATGAATAACATCGTTTCCATACGTGTCTTCAACATCCACATTTGATACTGGCGTTGGCTTGAAGCACGGCTCTGATCCTGTTCTTGCTGCAGCCATTAGAGGGGCGCAGTCATTAGTCTCTACACTGCCTGTAACCTGTTTGTTTGCCGCTAGAAGCAGCAGTGCTCGAATTGTGTTTTCATGTCATGACTTGCAAACCAAATGAAAGATGTTTTGCATTATCCACTATGGGGATTTGATCCTTCATTCAGCAGATACGAAAGTGTTCATAAACACATGCTAATCTCATTATCAGAATCGACCGCCTCCGTGGTCTTGTGGTAGAGCGTCTGCGAGGAGAGCGGAAGGTCCGGGGTTCGATCTCCGGCCGCGTCATACAAAAAAGACGTTACAAGATGGTCCTTGTTGTTACACTGTCTGGCGCTCGGCATTAAGGGACTAAAACAAGAACTGGTCGGCTCGGAGTCAGTATACTGTGTCTGAGTGGGGTATTCATGTTAAACTGTGGCATGGTATCTCAGTGAGCTAGCACTATAAATCGGCATGAGTACAACACACACACACACACACACGTACATGCACGTCGCTATATAAGTGCAATAATCTTGGACGCG